TTCTCAACCTGACCTGATTAGAGACCCATCCCCACTATAGAGCAGTGTCTTTCTGGTTGGCCAATGCTCTGTGATGTCTTCATTAAATGTTGTAAATGCCATTGCTCTCATCCAAGAAACCAGAATAAACCTGGCTGAGTGCTCTTAATCTTAAGTGCCTGGATTTCCTGCATTAATTCACTGAGGTTCTAAGGGGTTTTGGGGGCTCTCTATGTTCAGAGACTGAAAAAAGGGGCACAGGGGAAGCAGGGGCAGCCAGTGACAAGCTATTATTGAAAGTCCAGGTGAGAGCCCGATGTGGTGGTGCACATCTACAATCCTAGCTCTTGGGAAGCTGAGGCAGGAGGATTGCTATGAGTTCAAGACCAGCCTGAATTATATAATGAGACCCTGTTTTAAGAAAAATCCAGATGAAAGATGGTGGCCCTGTGAGATGGCAGTGGGGGTAGGAAGGCAGGGGCAGCTGTCAGTGACGATCAGTGGGCAGGTGTGTGGGTGCCTGGATGAGCTGTCACTGGCATTGTCTATGGGCAGGCTGTGGGAGACCCAGCTTTTCTCCATCAACAGGAGAGGCAAGTAGGCTGCACTTGGGGTGTGTGGGCTGGGAATTGGAAGTCTTGTTCATTCTGGTTTGCCCTTGCATATCAACTGGTTGGTTCTGATGTGGGGTGAGACTGAAAGGAGAATTAAGGGCAAGAGCAGAGCCCCAAGTGGCCCTATAGTTCCTGGTGTGGCAAAGAAGGGTCCCAGAGATGAATGTTTTGCCCAGCGACAGGTGATGAAGCCTCCTGTCACACTCAGCAGCAACTTCTGTCCCTGACCTCCACAGGCAGTGCCCACAGTTCCTTAGAAAAGAAAGGAAGAATGGCAGCTAAAGTGCTCCTCAAAATGGGCAGGAGAAACAAGCAGACACAGAGGTGTGGTTAACAAATGGTCAACAAATACATGGAAAAATGTTCACTATCTCTGGCCACTAGAGAGATGCAGATTACAACAATGCCAAGATTCCATCATACTCTGGAAAGGAAGACAATCACTAGGAAGTCAAACAATAACACATGTAGATATGGCTGTGGTGAAAAAAAGAATCCTCCAGTATTTTGGTGGGAATGCAGACTAATGCAACTGTGATGGAAATCAGTATGAAGATTTCTCAAATAATTGAAATTAGAAATGCCACATGACCCAGTGATCCCCCTTCCCGGTATCTTCTATGAAGATCTTAAGACATCATAATAAAAGAGTACATGCACACCAATGTTTATAGCAGCACAATTCATAATAGCTAAATCCTGGAGGTAGCCTATGTATCCATCAACAGATGATTGGATAAAGAAAATGTGTTATCTATATACAGAGATGCCTCAGTTCACAAACTTAATTCTATCCATGATTCTGGTGGCAGAATTCATGCCACATTCTTGCAATTCATTTGCAACCAAATCATAGAATGAATTCCACCACTAGATTCATGGAAAGAATTGTTTGTGAGCCAAGGTACCATTGCATAATGGAATACTACTCACCTAGAAAGAGTCACACTTTTGAGGCATTTGTAGGAAAATGGATGCCCCTCAGACACAAGCTTAATGCTGTATGGTATCTCTCATTTGAGTAAGGTAAGGTACAAACGAAGTAGAAGGGGACAAGGAGATGGATTCTTGAGAATAGGGAAGTGGTCCAAGGGTCCAAGGGGTGAGGGAGAGAAAAGGGGACATAAGTAGAATAAAGATACACCATATCTGGGCACCTAGTAACCCCAATGACCGCAAACATTATATGCCGTAACATGAGCTGAAACTAGTAATATCAACAAGAATGAAAATTTGGAAAGGGGAATTGGAGGAGGTGGGGAGGAGGAAGCGTAGCAAAATGGGATTAAAAAAGAAAAAACAAGCTGTGGTGTGATCATGGACCCGCTCCCCAAGGTGATTATAAACTGCATGGACTGTAAACATGGACTAATTATAAAAAGCTTTTTTTAAAAAGTCCCAAAAGAGACTAGGAAGTAAAAATGTCAATGCTGGTAAAGTCAAAGATCTGCAGTACCAGGGGAGAAAGATAAGAAGCCATCATTATTTTTGAGTAAATGCAGTATTTACTCAAATAATGGATTTGCCCAGAAACATTCAGGTTTTGAACTATGTATTTGAAACTTGAAGTTTCTAATTAAAGCTTAAAAAAAAAACCAGGAAAAACATATCCTGCTTAAAGTTAGCACGTATTAGCCCCTACTTGTCCATTTTTTTCTATTCATGAGAAATTTTCATTACAAAATTTTTGATAATAAAAAGGTGCTTTCTCATTAAATGGGGAGAAATCTGCCCTCTGATTGCTCTTTTACTAAGAATCTCTGACCCACTAAAATTACGGAAGTCTAAAGTAACAATTTCCTGGGCTCTGACTCGGCTTACAGTAAAAGGCAGAGAGCAAACCCTGGAATGTTTTGACATCTTTAGCTTGCACATAGTTGTGACATTGACCAACTCAGATGAATAATTGTCATGTAACATTGGCTAAGTTGAAAAATATTTGAGGGCCACTGTCCAGGTGCCAGCAGCCAGCCAGCCATTCCTTTGGCCATAGAAGTTTTATTCCATTTATGTTTTTCAGGGATAATTTTAAAGAAGTTGATTAAAAGTAGGCACATATAAGGTTTCAAAATTGTGACCCAAAATCAGGAAAAAAAGAGGCAAGTTGGATTTTATTAAATTGATTTTGAAAATGTAGAGTGGTTATGAGAAGTCTTAAAGAGAGGGTATTGACCTAGGAAACAGGCAGACACTAGAATAATTCTGATTAACTTGCAGAAATACATGGCTGTTTCATATCTCTTGCTTGATTCATTTATTGTAAGTCCTTCCCTTTCACATTTTGTTTCAAGTTTCTGTCCATACACTATCATATTCTATTTGGGATGGTATCAGATTAGTTAGAAGCCAAAATGGTGTATTTTTTTAAAGCAGAGGCATAAGGAATATTAGACCAGCTTACTTGCTTTAATAACTCAGCCTAAATTATAAGAAGGAAAGTTTTACTACTATAGTTTCTCTTATTTTTAGTTGAAATTAGAGAGAATAAAACCTGCCTTAGCTTGAGTTTCAGAAAGTCTGGCTTTAACTGGTAGAAGTCTGGTTTTATTATCACCCATCACAACTGGTGATCATGGTAAATTTATTTAACCCATCCTCACCTTGAGTTTTTATTTTAATCTATAGAATTTGAATGATGCTAGTGATAGGTAACATATAGTATTTTATGTTTCATTTATTTTAATCAAGAGTATTGTACTTTGAATGAACAAACTCAATTATCAAATGGGTGGTTGAATTATTTCACAAGAACAGTTAGACTCTGTCAAAACTTCTGCAGAATTCTGTGATCATTACATTAAAATTCCAATGGATACCCTACTTTAAAAGCCATCAGACCAATACACATGTAGCCTTGTTTAGTAAATAAGTGCCCAACTTTAATAGATATTTTAAGAATATGTTTCAGGACAAAAAATAGAAAACAACTCTGAGTTCAGGTTCTTTTATTTATTTGACCTTTATCGAATGCTCATGGAACTCCAGGCAGCTTCCAAAGTATTGGGACCCGAGCTGTGACCTCAGGCGCAGACTCCTGATCTGATGATGTTGACTCTATGAATCAAAAAGAGTGACAAGCGGATGCAAGTCCTCAGATTTATACCAAACATCTCACAGTCCATCTCCCAGGAGCCCAGTGACTTGGTATCTCTTCCTTGCAGAACTGACCCCATATCCAAGGGCCAGGTAAAGTGTGTAGTTCAGTGGTGCCATGGGGTTCTGGACACAGCAGGAACAAAGATGCTTCAAGAAACAGACTCAAAATGTTTGCTTCGATCCCTTCTTAGGATGGCATCATTTCTTCCAAGCCTGGTGGCATCATGACACTTGTCTTTGGAGATAGCCTGTTTGGATTTGACCTCTGCCTTTAACTTCTCAGGGTTTTTTGGCTTGGAAAAAATCTGTCTCAGGGTCCTAGTGTGTACAATGGTGTGGCGACCAAAGCGCCTGTTTTATTGGGTGGTTTTAAGAATGAAGGCAGGGCCAGGGATTTAGCTCAATGGTTCCAGCATCTGCCTTGCAAGCACAAGGACCCAAGTCTAATCCCTGATACCACCCCCCAAAAATTAATGAAGGGACTAGTATGTGTTGTCCTTTAGACCTGTAGACAACATAAAAGAAGTTCTATCTGCAGGTGAATTGTTATTAATCTATTATTGTGCTGGTCTGGAGTTAGCCCTTAAGTCCTTCCCAGAGAGGGAGTGGCTTGAACGTGAGTGAATACCCCGTGAGGATAACATTGAATTTTGCCATTAGTTGTTGTTTTACAAGGAACAAGGGATTGAGGTTATAGCTTTACCATTTTCCTGGAACGAACTTCTTATCTACATTCTTCCTCTTTCCACCCAAGCTGAGAGTCCCACTGGGAGTTGAAGCTGGAAGCTGGCTCCTGTTTGGGGAGAGGCTGAGTCACATTCTGGACAGCAGATAGAGCTTTTCTAGTAACCCATGAAGTCTTAGATACTTCTTAGCTGGCTCTCTCAGTTTGGTTTTGAAATTCTTTGCACCAAAGCTGGCTGAGCCTTTCCAATGAGAATCTGCCAAAGGTATCAGGTGGTAACTGGGAGTCTCAAGCCCCACTATGTCCAGACCATTTGGAACCAAAAGTGCTATCCTATCATGAAATAAATGTGTTATTCAGTTTGAGCAACTAATGGTAAAACTGAGAAATGATTTGAGTACTTGTTTTCAAGGGGACCGTTCAGTGTTGTCCTTAGGCTTAAATATTTATGTACTTAGTTCAAGATCTCTTAGTACATGTAGTACAAGTCGTTTTGAACAAGTCATGGATTTTGGCTAAAGGTCAGATTTCATGGTAGGCGGAGTAGTAATTTGCCAGATGTCTTTGAGCATTTAAAGTAAAAGAAGGACTGTTTCTGCATAGAAAGTCTACAGGACAGAAACCCAGGAGGGTGGAAAGTTATTCTTAGCTTGGCCAGTAGTGTGGGGCTGATTCCCTCTAGTCCTTCACTTGGGGTAAGCATCAATCCCTTACCTGAGGTTTGCAATAAGAAAAATAACAAAATTCGTGCTTAAATGTGCTTTCTTAAAGATTTTTAGAGTTGCTGTATTTATTCCTTATGCATTTAAATTTCTGTATCAGTTCCATCCCTCTTCTGATGTTTTAAAAGAAAAAGAAATAATTATTTTGTTGAAAGAAAAATGAAAAAGGATTGAATTATTATTCACAATTATGTTCTGAGGGCCTTTGGTGACTCTTGGGGACAAGTTGGAGCTGGAACAAATATTTGAGGATTCGGGGTAGGTTTTGGATAATTTCTGGCTAAGGTTTAGTTCTAGTTTTTCTTTATTCCTTGGTTGTTTTATGATGATTATTTGCTTGTGTGTTGCTTGTGTGTGATGCCTGTGCTTTTATATAATACTGAATTTTCTAGAGTCTATTGAACTTTATGTCTTTAATTTTTTTAAAAATAAAAATTCATTTTCTTTACCCTTGATTTGGCTTCTTTGAGGACACTAGTAAAACAGAATTGTGAAATAGTCTGACCATTGGAAGGGTCACATGGCCCAAATGTGCAGTAGGAATAAATACTATATTGTGTGTCTGAAACTTGTTGTTAGCTATATGTATACTTAATAAACATATGTTGATTGATTTTCCTGGAAGTTCTTGAGTATTTAAAAATCATGACTTCATAAATGTTTTGCTTGTGGTTTTGTGAGATTTGTTTCTCACTGGAAACATTGATTCTTCTTTCTGACTCTAAACCCCGCTCAGCACTGCACTCCATCTACCTTAGCCGAGACTGGTCACCCTCCTGGGTCATAGATTGCTCTGGAAGAACCCAACAATGAGTAATCAACACTCCCTCTTGACTGATAAACCAAGAAGAGGGCTTTGGATGTTGGTGACTCTAATAGTGCCCATGTATTTCATAGCAGCTAAAGGTAATGAGTATTGTTCTACAGTCACAGTTTAAAAAATTGTTAAGTAATTCAAAAAACATTTATTCTAAACTGCCTGTTTGTTCCAGCTGAATTAGCAATTGGAAAGGTATTTTTTGCTGTACAGTTATGCTTCATCATGACTCTGAAAGAATACATTTTTTGTAATAAATAGATAATAATTTTCAGATATTCAAATAAGTCAAAATTTAAGGTGATGCTCACACCTAACAGGTGTTACAGGCATTTGTTGACTGGCAGGTAATTTGCTTAGGTTGACAAGGAAGCTTTTCCACTGAAGCAGCATGAGAGACTTAACTTCACATTAATTCATTACTCTCTGGTGCACAATAAAGCCTTTCATAAAAGTCCTTAATCATTTACTTAGTCTTTCTCCAAATACCACAGCATGCCATGCGTTTTAAAATTTAACTTTAGATGGAAATATCAGCAGCCTCAGAATTATGATCTTTGCATATGACTGTTTCAGGGCCATCTGTATATTTTTTATTTGCAGGTAAATCATCATGGGGCCAGGAAAATGAAGCTTTACTTGTGAGATGTCCAAAACAAGGAGGGTCCCGTTACCCTGTGGACTGGTATTACTTGAAGACAAATGAAAGCATTCCTACCCAGAAAAGAAATAGAGTCTTTGCTTCGGGGGAGTGGCTTAAGTTCCTTCCAGCCAAAGTGGTCGATTCTGGAGTTTATACTTGTGTTATCAGAAGGTATCATTCAGGAAGTCACCCTAAACTGTCATTAGTGGGGGTTGGTCTATGCTGCCCAAACTTGACTTCTGTCTCAAGTCCTTTGTGGGACAGTTGAACTTATCAGCTGATTTGAGTGAAAGAAAACCTTTAGGAACTTAATTGCCGTTATATTTGATCAGACTATTACAGCAGACGTAATACATGAAGAAATGTAGCCATTTTTAGGACTAACAGAGGGGCTATGTTTTATCTTAAGAGTAACACAAAAAGCCATTTAAAACTCAAGATTTGAGTGATTATTTTCACTGAAAAAGAACCACTGTGTATCATTGTCTCAAGAAGAAAAATAATACTGAACAAAATATAGAGCTGAGTGAAGTTATTTCACAATGCTAAATAACTTTCTAATTATCTTATTTTAGTAGTCCCACTTGGAATAAGATTGGATATATAAATATCACCATCTATAAAAGACCAACAGATTGTCACATTCCAGATTATTTGATGTACTCAACAGCATCTGGATCAGGAAGAAACTCCAGAATATATTGTCCCACAATTGACCTCTACAATTGGACGGCACCTCTTAAGTGGTTTAAGGTACAAGGACATTTGAATGGGGTGGGGAAGTAGTACAAATTGAACAATTACAATAGATGCAAAGAGAGGGTTACCGGAAAGGCAAGGGGATTCTTTTCTGTTGTTGTTCCAGAACTGTAAAGCTCTTCAAGGATCAAGGTACAGGACACACAGGTCATATCTGTTCATTGACAACGTGGGGCGTGTTGACGAAGGGGATTACACGTGCAAATTTACACACACTGAAAATGGAATCAGTTATAATGTGACAGCCACCAGATCATTCACCGTTAAAGGTAAGCCACGATGTTTAACAGAATAAGACATTTAAAATAAGATGGCTGCTGAGTTCCCAGCACCTCACTCTCTTCCCTGTTACTTCTGATGACAGAAGCATTACCTGATGTACTAGCAAGGTTTTAGAAATTCAAAGGGAGATCACTGATCCAAAGCCACATCTATTTTCTTTCCTACTTACTTTTCCAAAGATGAAGCGGTCTAAATGCTAATGTAGTTTACTTTCTTGAAGGGAAATACAACTATCTGTGAGATCTTGGTCCCCAGACTCCCTCAGGTCCCCAAGCCTTCAGATACTCAAGTTCTTCATGAAAAATGGCCTGGTGTTTGCATAAATCCTATGCACACTGTGCCATCTAGATCATCTCTAGATGACTTATCATCCCTAACACAGTCTGAATGCTATGTAATTAGCTGCTGTACTATTCTGTTCCAGAAATAATGATTTAAAAAACTGTGCACACGTGTAGGGCAGAAGCAATTTTTTCCTAATACTTTTGATCTTTAGTTGTCTGAATCTGCAAAAGTGCAACTTGCAGTTGTGGAGGATGCAATGATTTTCAACCCTGGTTGGCGGTGCTTTTGGCATGACCAATGACCTCAAGTGGGGTACTTAATTCTAAAAAACACTTTTTTTCAAATATATTTTTAAATATTTTAAAGCCTGTTTAGGGGAAAGAATTCACAATCATAGCTGATCACGTATTTACCAGCTTGGTCTCTTGATGCCCATGAAGAAGCTAGGTCACACAATTAATGTCTCAGACCAGCATTTGCTTTAGTGACATAAAAGAGAGTAGAAAATATCAAAGTACATCACAGGTAGTATAAAGTATTTCTTAAGTGTTCTTTTTGTTTCTTTTGTGTGTGTGTGTATACTTGTATTGCCTAAAAAAAATTGAGGACATTGTTATGAAATCATAAAAAAATATGAAAGGACAAACTTTATACTGATGACCATCCAAAGCTCTCTTTATACTTATATTCTTTTTCTGTTTTTTTCTTTTTATTGAGTTTATTGGTACAATCTAGGTATACAATACAGTTACATTCATCATTGGGATTCTGTACCGTTACATAATAGGTCTTGGTTCTCATTTTTCCCCTTGTCCCTGCCCTCCTTTCACCCCCCCTCCCCTCCCCATTTACACACACTTTATTTCCATTTTTTCAGTTTCTCATATTTTTTTTCTTTTTCTGTTTTTAATTTTAAGATAAGCCAGGAGTTTCTGTATTTCCAGTGATTGTGACCCCTTCCTGTAATGAAACAAAGGAAGTGGAAATTGGTAAGAAAATTGTGAAAAAATTCTGGGCAACCTGGAAAGTTCTTTGTTGTGACCTGGGCACAGTGTGAATGCTCTAGCTACGTTCAGGTAGTTAGTACAGGGGACATGAGGATTCCATGAGTGAGTCGATGGGGTGGAAGGACAGTGCCTGCCCCAGCCACTTGTTAATGTTTGAACTGTGCCAAAGCAGTATTCATTCCAACCTCTATCCCAGAGGTATACATCCCAGACAAAAGTTGGGCTCAGAAATGTTTAAGGGTGCATCCAAGGTCATGGAAAGAAAGAGAAAACAGACTTCCAGCTCGTTCTATCCCTGCCTTTCCTGGTTCTCATGAGGTAGGATTCAGAGGTGTTAGTGAATGAAGCAGCATCCTGGACCAGGTCCTCCCTGCCCTCTAGGAGCATCTGCAGCCATCAAGCCTACACACTCCACTTCACCCACAAATGATACTCTTCCAGGTCCTCCAGACTTTGCTTATGTCTTTCCTCCTTTCTCATCTCTAGTGTGCTGTCCCCCTCCACCACCTTCCTTCCCTTCCAAAGAGCAGGGTCCTAGCCTCCTTCTTCCTTTGAGGCCAGCATACGATTTCCATGACAGCCACACTCTCTGCATCCTTTCCCTCCATCACCCAAGCCTCTGAGTTTGTCTTTCTGTTAGTGTCCTGCAGCCCATGTGCTCCAATTACTTCTTTTTACCACCTCCCCTCCCCGAAGAGCTCCTCATGCCTTGAATGATGAGATGAAGGGCTCAGAAAGGGATGGCTGAATGCAATCCATGGCCATCAAAAGTCCCAACACTTACAGTTATAGAAGGAGGGAGCCTCAACTTCAATGGACCACACATTGGAGAGTGGATGCCTGAGTCTCAGATGTTTCCCGGGTTGGGTAAAACAAAGGGAGCTCATAGAGAGATGAAGAGGATTCAGCTGGAGGACAAAACTGTAGAAGGGATCACATACAATTAACTCCAGTTTCCAGCCTGAGCAATCCTACATGACCATGAAGGGCTATGGAGCCAGAGTCAGTTTCCCAGAGGTGAGTGGGGTGGGAGCTGAGCATCCAGCTTAGCTGTGGGTGAAGGAAGAGAAGATGCTGAAGTGAGAAAGAAGCTGAGAGAGGGCAGAGAAGATGGTTCTGGAGATGAGCAAAACCTATGGGAAGAACCACGGGGCAGTTAAGCCATCTATGGACTTTTGTCACCGTACATGACATGAAAGATTGCCTGCAGAATTTATTTGATTGGTGAATTTCTTTGCTTCTCACCCAGGAAAGAAAGTACTCATCACCTGCATGGCTTGCTTTGGGACAGGGCTTCAGTCCTTCACTGCTGTCCTGTGGCAGGTGAACCAAAGCAATGTCAAAGACCTGGGTATAACAAGAATTCAAGAGGAACAAGAGCAAAGTCAAAGGTATTTTTGCATTGAAGTTACGACCTTCCTCTGGAATGTTCCCTTCCCAGAAAATGGGCAACTGCAAAGGAAACATTAAAAGTAAGAAGTTGCCAGCAAGGTTGTGCACACCTGTCATCCCAGCAATGGGAGGCCAGGGCAGGAGGATTACAAGTTCAGGTCCTACCTGGATAACTTAGTGAGACCCTGTCTCAAAATCAAAAGAAAGTGGGGGGGAATTGTAGCAGAGCATCCATGGGCTTGATCCCCAGTATAATACCCCCCCACATACATGTAACAAGTTGTCTTCTCAGTTCTAGCAATGACACAACTTGTCTCAACACTGTGTTAAGAATATCTGAAGTAAAGGAAGAGGATTTGTCCCTGAAGTATGACTGTCTGGCCAGAAATTTGCATGGGGTGGTACGGCACACCACGAGGCTGATAGAAAAAAAGCCAAGTAAGAAGTGTTTGTGAGACATTGGTCACCCGGGTTTGCTGTATCCACTATTAATCTGAAAGGATTTTCTAGAAGACAGTGATCTGATTACATCAAGATCATGTAAATGGCCTGTCACAGAGTGCTTCTCTTCTTGAAGGTGCTATTTGCATTCTGGAGTTTTGGAGTATTTACTTCCTCCTCTTCCTCTTCCTCCTCTCCTGCTTCTTGGACTCCTCTTCAACTTTCAGCTGCCTCCTCAGATAACCCTGCCAGCTGTAGGTAACCAAGAGAGGACATGTTGTCTACAGAGGATTCAAATCAGGAATAGAGCTGTCTGCAAGTCCTCACGCTTTTCTTGGTCCCCATCCCCAACAGCACCACTGGACAACAGTTCTGATGGGCCCTATCCTGAGCCCTGGTGTCTCCGTCTGGTTTCTCCCAAGCTTGGCCTCTTGTACATATCCTCCCTTGATCTTTGCATTTCTAGGAAAAGCCTTCCTGTTTGTTAGATGAAGCATTTGACCCCACAGAAAAGGGTAGAGAGAAAGAATATTTTTACTCCCATTCCATGAGTGGCAGCACAACTATGGAAACATTATTTAGGATTTGTTGAGCAGCCAAGAAGAGAGTTGAGCTCTGGACTCCTCCCCATGCGTAGATGTGGCCCAGATTCATCTGACAGATAGACAAACAGGGGCTCAAAGGATCAGAGTGGAGGTCAGGTCACTAATTTGATGTGGTCATGATAGGTCTCTATCTGAGATGTTCCTTGCCTTGAGATATTTCTTGTTTTGATTTTGATGTTGATCCCTGATTTGTAAGGTCACATAAAACAGTCACAGCTCACACAGAAGACTCTGTGTCACCTTACTTAGCAGGGCATTGGGCTTTGGATGAGGGCAGTTGTGCCACCAGAATGACTGTGGACCATGCCAGGATGTCATGGGGTGGAAATGGGCACACTGGATCCTCCAGAATGGATGAAGTAACACATGCACCTGCATAAGCCCCCACCCACAGCTGCTTTGTTCCTCCTGCACTTTGCTCACATTATTGTTTATGGACCATCTCTTGTGTATTGCATTTGTGCTCATTTTTGTGTGTGTGATTTTTGTACTTTCTTGTTTGTTTGTATTTCAACTGTTTTTCTTCAAGTTACACAGTTGCACTTTTTTTAACTGTATAAATTAAACAAAAATTGTCTGTGATGCTATTGAATTGTCATAGTGAATTCTTTTAAAAAGCTTGCCTCTGATTTATTCAATACTATTAAATAAATGAAGCTCATAATAATAAGACACATATATGCATTATTTTCTACATCCTGGACCCTAATTATTTTACATTTAAATGTCTTAATTACTTTCTCAATACCCCACAGCCTAGAGATTGTTACTATCATCAACTTCTGTAGATAAGGAAATGAAGGCAACAGCTGAATGACTTGGTGTGACCCATAGTTAGAGAACTAGCTCTTTCATTTTATAAACATTTGCAGGAATTACTTAGTACTTCATTATCGTATATAAGCACTGCTTATAGATTTATGAAATCATTAATGCTGAGGCAGATATTGAACTTCAATTTTTTCAATGTCTTGAACTACTTTCTTTCTCCAGCTGAAACATCCCACCACATGCATATAACCTCCCAAGAATTCTACATCCTTAGCATGTATTCAGGTAGGAATTTACAGAGGCCTTTGAAGTGAATTAGAGTTTGTCATTTAAACAGTAAGCTCCTTGCCAGTTTTCAGTTCTTCCTGCCAACTTCACCTTGATCATCTTGATTTCATAGTGCTGGGTCCTCAGACAGCAGATGAAACCATTGGGAGTGGTGTAAGAATTCATGAATACCAGCCAGTGATTCTCATTGTCCTACCCGGGACCCTACATTGAAATTTTAGACTAAAATGAAAAAGAACCCCAACACCAAACCTCCTTTGAAGTTCTTTTCCCATTTATGTTTAAGCAGGACCGTTTCTGAGATAAGATAGATAACCATTCTAAGAGCAAAGTAAGCTTAACAAGACAAGAGTACTATGAATAATCATGGTTCTTAAGATTCAACTTGCACACTTCTGTTACAAGTCCTTGAGGATAGCAATGGACTTGCACATATGTTTGGGAGGCTAGACGTGTGGGGTAAAGTTCAATGATGGCTAAATGAAGGTCACCATCATGGGGGCAGGGCTCTGGGTAGGGCTAGAATCCAGTGTCTGTCTTCCCCATCAAGTGTACTTCACAGATTCAGCCAGCTCTTGTTTCTGCTTAGTGTCCAACGCTACCATCTCAGCTGCAGGGAATTTCCCAGAGCTAGTGATCCATTCTCTTTAGTCCTCCAGCAAACACCAGGCTCATCCATTCCTTCCACATTATCACACAACTTCAAGTCCTCCTCATCTTGCACCCCATTCTATACTGGGCCCCTGCAATCTCTCTCCACAGAAACCTACCTTCCACTACCATCAGCTCAGTTTTGTGTGAAAAACACTGTCATTGTTTATGATCGATCTAACACTTTCCTTTTGCTCCTGAATCTTCACAATAAGGCAGAAATTTAGCTGGGGTTTTAAGCCCAGTCAAATCTAATCCTTGGCCCATCTTGTAATGCTATCTTTTGTGGGTTCCCCAAACAGGATACTTGGGTTCCTTGTAATCACATTACCATGCCCACACTTCAGCTCACAGCATCCTCTCTGGGACATTTCGTTTTCTGCTTAATCCCTGAAGGGACTTCCTTACCCACCTCAACATGGAATGAGTTCTTCTAAATGCCTTCATTAACTAAAACCACACCTTTGCCTCTCATGTTAGTTAAGTTTCCATGTGACTCTATTCCTCTGCCTTTGAGAACATACTGTGATACCTAGACTGATGTCTTGTATGGAGTAGGGGCTCAAGAAGCATCTATTCACTTGTTTTTAAACAGCTACAAAAATTCCAGGTAGGACTCTTAGGTGTGAATCTCTCAAACTTCCAGTAGAACCTAGCAGCCCTGCATTTTATCTTATCTATTAACACTAATGATCATTTTTTCCTTCCCATCATTTTTGATAGTTGGTCATCAAAATGTCTACTACATAGCTGCAGGATGTAGTTTCCTGCTAATGCTAATCAATGTCATGGTGATAATTCTGAAAGTGTTCTGGATTGATCTTATTCTACTCTGGAGAGATCTAGCCAGACCTTACAAAATGAGGAATGGTAAGTGGCAAGTTTCAAGGATTTCTTAAAAAATGGCTATGGGTTGCTAACTTATTAATCTCTTACTAGTCATGCTGCTGAACCTATTTTCCTGGCTGCCTGGTTTTCAGTGAATTTTTTGGAGTCTACTCAGAGGCTATTTTCCACATAGTTCTGCCCATCCCTGAGGTTCTGTGATTCATCTCCATAACCCGAGTTTCCTCCCCATTAGGGCTGATGTTGCTACAAGCTCCCCAAAGGATCCTTCCCAAGCCCAGAAAGGTTTCAATATTTTGGGAAATGTATGTTGGTAAAACTTGATGAAATAAAACAGTCACAGAATCATTCCTGCTTTCCAGATGTGAGGAAGTGAGGTAGGTATACCAGGCAGGTGAACCAGAGCCCTTGTTCAGTAAGTGTACACATGCACGTATATGCACACAGAAAGGAGGATGGCTCTGCCTGCTAATGATGACACTAGTCTTTCATTTAGAAGCAATCATAGGTTAGAGTTTTGTACAGAGCCTGTGCAAGTAGTATCTAAGCGTTTGAGTTATGGGGAATTACAATGCCTTCAGAAACTCTCTTCCCTTGTCGTTGCTAACCTGTAGCAGTTTCCCTTCTCCCAGCACAGTAGTCCCCTGTTATACATGGCTTCCTCTTTTGTGATTTCACTTACCCAAGGCCAACTAAGATCCAAACATTTACTTAGAAAATTCCAGAAATATAGAAAACACGTTATAAAGTACACACCCTTCTGTGTAGTATGAAGACATCTCACAAGGTTCCATTCTGCCTCCTGTGACTCAAATCACACCTCTGTCCAGTGTGTCCTTGCTGTCCCTGCACCCTACCTATGAGCCAGTAGCTGTCTTGGTTGTCAAATGGATAGTTGTAATGCCACAGCACCTCTGTTCAAGTAATCCTTACTTTACCTTCCTGGTGGTCCTTATATGAAGGGTAGTAATGCTGGTAAATTTACTAGAGTATGTTATTATGATTTTCTTATGTTAATATTAGTTATTATTGTTAACCTCTTATTGTGCTCGATTCATGTTATGAAATATAGTAAGTGTATGGGTATAAGGGAAAATATGGCATTTACTGCATAGGGACTGGTACTGTCTAGGGTTTTAGGCAACCACTAAGTGTCTCAGAACTGTCTGGAGAGAGTGAGAGATGGAGCCGAGGCCTTCCAGGCACAGAATCAGGACCCTGACCATTGTTAGAAATACTTATTGATAGATTCGCAGTCAAGCTTGACCACATGGGCTAATCTACTCTGGGCAAGCTCTAGTCTGTTCACTGTCATTCAGTCTGAGACAGTACACATGGAGAGGCCTTTGGGACTAAGACTGCCATTTCCTGATCATTTCCTGATCACATTTTGGGGCAGTGGATTATCACCATCATCTGGTTCTAGGGTATTTGGGAGGATGAGATACATTCAAGGGCAGCCATAAAACTTGGTGAGGAAAAACCGCTAAGAGTCAAATGAGAATGTTTAGAATCAAATAATGAAGTTGTATTTCTTGTTTTTTCCCCAGATGGAAAGCTCTATGATGCTTATGTTATATATCCAAGGGACCACACATGTGGTTCAGAGGGGCCCAATTCTTTGGAGTACTTTGTCCACCAGATACTGCCTGATGTTCTTGAAAATAAATGTGGCTACAACTTATGCCTTTATGGGAGAGATCTGCTACCTGGAGAAGGTAAAGCTGTCTACATACATGAGAGGTAGAAATTCTAGCTAGTGAAAGTCTAAGGTTAAATGATCTTATTCCTGCAATAGAAAAGGAATTGCATTGACCAGTCAGACCTTATGACTAGAGCTTTTAAATCATTCTTCAGGAAGTACTCATCCCTGTCATTGGCCTTTCCAGGAGTGTCAGCAATGTGACAAGCTTGGAGTAGTATAATTTA